AACCGTCGCCTATAGACATGAGCAGTACCATAGACATAACAGAGTATACTGTCTCGCCCATGAAACTCCCATGCGTTGCCATTCTCGAGGACTCAGGTGTTATTCCTCTGTACCCAGTAAATTCACGCCATATCCCATCCTTCAAACCGAAACACAGCCATGCAAACACAACTGCTTCACGGTTGAAACACGAATGGGACAGAGATACCCAAGCAATCGACTTTTGTACAAAGTCTCCCTCTGGACTGTCGTTTCTTTTCGTTTTATTGAATATTTATTGATATATTCCTAAACTGCCTTATGGAGTTTCAACGGAAAAAGTGAGAAAATAATTGATAAGCGGGCGGATGAGTCATTAGGGACTCGAGTGGCAGCCATATATCAAAGGCATAGTATTCGTTAAGAAGCTAAATGATTCCGTGAGGACTCGTGTGGGTGGATGGCAAATTGAGTAAGAGATTATCTATGATATTGCTACCTGTATCTATGTACATATCAATAAGGAACTAGTTATATCAAACATCGAAATCTTCCGCATGCAATTTTAACTTTTATTTAAATAAGCAACAGTTGATTTTGCCATGTTGATTTCAGCTAATAGGTAGGTACGTAGCGGAAATGTTTATTGCCTGAATGCCTGAAAGTGACAGAAAGTGACCTCTGACTACCCCTTATTTTCTGTTATTTATTTATTTAGAATATAATATCAAATGGAGGCAAATGGACACACACAATGCATTTTATTCATATTTCTTTTTATTATTATTTTTAATAAGGAATTTAAGCGACTGACTCTTGGCCACAACAGAATATCAGTATTTTGCTCTTTTAAGAGCAAAGCAGTAAACTGAATAGTGACCATTTTGTGTTACTATGACACGCGTATGTAGGAAAAAAAAGATTGTTGTTTTATATATTTTGCATTTTTTTTTGTAGTAATGTAAACAAATTATCTATCTATCTATCTATGCATTCTTGTCAAAGATATGAATGAAACGTTCTGAAAAAATGTAAGTACTTACTCGATACTTTTTTCCGCCACCAAGTACTTTGGGATAGATACTTTGAAAACAAGTATCAAGTAGGAATCGATGACTCGTGGCAGTGAGTCAATGCCAACTTAGATTTATTAATATTTGATGCACAAAAAATGAATATTTTTTTGAAAATCAAATATTAAATATTCTTGAATACATCATAATTCTAATTATGCGCAGATGGTAGACTTGTCTATATTTGTCTATTTCAAAAAATATCGGAAAAAATCAAAAATTTATTTTTTGTATTGACCGCCTATGAATAATAAAGCTTTTTTATGGCTTACCACTGAGATATGATATTTTTTTTTTTAATTAGATATTAATATCTTTAAACAATATGTTCTTATTTTTTTTTTACTAAATTCTACAAACAAATCAATCGATACTTTTTAATCAATATTTATTTATTTATTTATTGGTCAATAAAACTTTTTACAAGTGGCAAGCTTAATGCCATATGACATTCTCTACCAGCTAACCACTTGGTAAAAACAGAAAGCGTATGAAGGGCAGATATGGTAAAAAATATGTGACATATTTATAGTAACATAGTAAAATAATTGTACATAATACATAAGAACTAAACATATAATACATAAACATTACTTTTAATATATAATATATAAACATATTATATAATATAAATATCGAGTAAATATCGATACAATGTATAGAAGTAAAAGTACCGATACTTTTTTTTATATACAACTTAGAATGGCAAACAAGCTGACGGCCCACCTGATGGAAAGTGATAACCGTCGCCTATAGACATGAGCAGTACCATGAAAATAACAGAGTATACTGTTTCGCCTACTCGTTTAGTAATACATGATACCTCCCATGCGTTGCCGTTCCTGAGGACTCAGGTGTTATTCCTCTGTACCCAGTAAATTTACGCCATATCCCACCCTTCAAACCGAAACACAGCCATGCAAACACAACTGCTTCACGGTTGAAACACGAATGGGACAGAGGTACCCAAGCAATCGACTTTTGTACAAAGTCTCCCTCTGGTAAGGTAAGGTAACTTTAATGCTATAATTTCATCTTTAGTCAAAAAATTAAACTTAAGAATGAATTCCGAATTGAACTCTGGAACCATGATAAACAACTGTTTAATAAAATTAAAATTATGTTTAGATTAAATCACGGGAATAAATTAATAAAATAACAGCCTCATCAAGCTCAAGATAATAATAACTAAAAGGTCACAGCTGTGTTCTTTCATTTTTTTAATAAATTTTTAACACGGTATACCATTTTTAATTTTAAAAATTATATTAAAGTCCTTATTTTCATTTCATAAATTATTAACTTTTTCCCTTTTTATGTTGTCGTAATAAAAATTGAGAGACAATTTATTTATAAGCGACAAAACACACTATATTTTTTTAGATGCATTAATATTTAAAGTTCCATAAGTAAATACTTCATAAAAAATAAGCAAAGTAGCAATTTTATTGATAGAAAAAAATACAGAGAAAAAAATATTCTTTTGTGACACTTCTAATGGCAAATTATCTGCCAACAAAACAACACATCTGATGGAAAGTGGTAACCATCGCTTATAGATATGTTATATTCTCATAGTACCCACACCTTCATTCCTGAGAACTATGGTTGAAGTAAAGTTATAATGAACAGATAAAAGGAAACTATCATCACTATCATAATTTCAGTCATTTCGTCTAAAGGAAACTGGGTCACGTGTATGTCAATATGTCATTCCATTTCATAACTCCAAACTTGCAAAATGTTGTCATTAATTTTGATTAAACAAGTTCTCATTTATGAATAAACAATAAATTATTAAGCGAATAAATTATTCTTTGAGATGAATTTATTATTTGCTGTAAAGTATCCACCATGTCTCATTGGCACAGCCAGAACCGCAAAGTTGGTTTACGCTTTGTAGTCAAAGCAAGAAGAACTCTTTGGGCGCAAGAAATTATTCATTAGCTTTCACCATAGCGACGATATTGTAAATAATATCTCTCGATTCTGGCTAAAAGTATTTTTTAATTATTTATAGGATACCCGACTAGTTACATAAATTAAAAAAAATTAGACCTACACATATGTAAATATTCACATATATCCATACAAACATATATATATATATATATATATATATATATATATATATATATATATATATATATATATATATACAACGATAAGTAGTGGGATTTAACTAAATTTTTTTTTTTATAGAATGTGAGTTCTACAAACGAACTGCATGCTTTATTTTTTTCCTCCTGGCGACTTATCGTTTCAATCTTGCCTGATAAAATTTGATATACACATACTATATATCGAAAAAGACGTATTATTCATCCCAGTCAATAAACATATCCCGATCATAAGAACGAAGTTGCGTGTAAAAGCTAGTATGCCTCTATCTACAAAATAGAAAACTAATTATACTGATCGATAGAACATAATGACTAAATTAAGTTCCATTCGTGTCTCCCACGGCAACTGGGAAAAATAAGTCGGGGTAAATCACCGGCCGGCAGACAGGGGCTGATTTAGGTGATCAATCACCCCCGGAATCGACCGTCTACTCGTATTTATTTAATACTGTCGCGCTATACTTAACCCGGTATTGGTATTATAATCCTTGTAACCTTTTCAACCCGACAGTTAAGTGAGTCTAGTCGCTTGTATTAGGCTCGTATCGCAAATCTATGAAAATGCCATCCCCCTAATCCCCCTCATTCTAAGAATAGGCCTGGAGGCAATAGCTTCTTCACACAACGACGAATTTCATCAGAACCCTGATTTATAACAAATCGTTTTTCTAATTGGCCACGCAATTTTTCGACTAAGTTCAAAATTACATTTAAGTAATAAAAGTCTAATAATATATTTATTAAATGTCATATACCTACCTATATTATTCTATGTATCATAATTATTTATATGTTTTTTTTTATAACAGTATTTGTTACTACACCATCCTGACTGAACGCAGACGACATAGTCCATAAATACGACCAACTGATAAGAGAACGTTGAACCTTCAATGGTTGGACACACTATGCCGACTCATTAAGTGCTTTTTCACGCTACGTTTGAAGGATTCGAGGTTATAGAACAAAGATATGTTTTAGGATATAAAATAATATTTCAATAAATAAAATATATGTATATTATAATTACATATCTTTAGGACTGCAGGCCTACACTAATCTTGTGGATTCAAGTATGCTACTCGTCAAGTTTTAATATAATAATCCTGAGTGGATCGTATTACTTTCCTGCTTCCGCTATATAATCAGTTTTCCTCCTTCGCATATTCTTGGATGGATTCTCTATGGTCTTATATACTGAACACTGGCATTTAATATCAGAATTAAAATCCTTGAACTGACAAAAAGTATTAAAAATTACTTGTTTTATTATATATTTCTCGTAATTTCCAAAAGCAATAAATGGGAAATAATCCTAGAGTTCTAAACAGTATTATAATTTTAAAATATTTGAAACTAAATATAATAAGTTAAAAAATTTTACATTCTTACATTTAATGAGATTCAAACCCTTCTTAGCTATTCGTACCGAGTATGTTTTCATTTATATCATGGAAGGAATATTGTCAATATGCAGATTGGTCGTTGGAAAGAAAAATTGTTTTAAATTTCCAAATGTTTGATTACGCTTTTTAAAATATTTTAAAATTAAACTTTTATTTAAAAAAATTACTCTGTTTCTCATGTTCATAATTCTCGGTAACTGTTATCGTGAATTATGAACGTAAATTTAAAAATAAGAACTTATTTCTACCACGCACCTATAACCAGAATCATATTCAAAGTCACGCTAAAGTCTTTGTTTATAAGGAAACTTGTTATGATATTATATTTCTCATAGTAATATAATGTTCAATGTAATAAAAAAGTAATAAAATTAAATTGGTAAATACTATATAACCTAATAAAAATTTGACTTATTTTAAACAATAAGAAAATCTATAAATCCCAATGTAAGGAATCTTGCATGATTTGTTTACAGTGGTTTCGAAAAGGAAATTGGATGATAAATCTGTTTATGTTACTTTGCAATTTCAACGTAATTATTTCAGAAGACTGTAATTCGTTCGGCAACGGTTCGTGAAATAATTTCGAATTGTATATTTTAACAGTTACTCGAAAATTAATTTTTAATTTGCTGAAGAAATTTGTTTTAGCTACCGACAAGAATTTACCGTTAGATTGGCCGAGCTGTTGGACCAATGGGACAGTGCCGTTTGTTTTCGATTTCTACTCATTAAGTAAGTATATTTATAACATTTTCGTCTTTTTGACAACTGTTTCATCTTCACAGTGTAAAACTTGAAAAACTTTTTTATCTGGCAAGGTTTCTTAAAATCTTCCCTAAAGCCTAATGCTCGGAATTCTTCAAAAAAGGTAACACCCTTACCGAAGCCTATAGGCGAAGATAACTGTTAATTAATTTATTATTTAGATATCATTAAAAAATAAAAAAAAGAATACTGACAATTTTAAACAACCTAGCCGCTAAAAAAAACTTGTGAATTTTTTTGTTTTTTTTTTTATTTAAGTTCTATATATTTACGCACAGAACGTATCTTGATTAATCTATATTTAATTATTTAATAAATAAAATGAGTTTTTGCGACACTCTATCTAATCTAAAAATACAGGTCGACCTCCCCGTAGTCCCTCTGGAAATCATCGTGCTAAATCCCAGGTGTATTATGTGTGTATGTGTGTCTCGCCAGCATATACCGTTAGCGCATGATGGTTGCCATTCCATTATCATCCATTAAAAAGCTACTTATCTGCTGGAAAGTAGCAACTTCTTTTAAACAGATGCGAATAATACTGAAGCAGAATATTATGTTGTCCTACCTATATTGTCGCTGCCATTTTTAAAAATTTGTAATTTCGTGTCTTGTATTAGAAATTTTGGCTATTTTTTAACTGAGACACAATCTACATATTAAATATATGTTTATATAATTTGCTTAACAGTTGAAAGAAGTAAATAAATAGACGGTGGGTGGGACGGTCGAAGTACATCATGAATATTCATAATATATATTCGTAATTTCCGCTACACTAACTTTAAGAACAATTCAATTTATATTTAAAATTAATTGCGAAAATCAGAAAGTCATTATTACGATTTGCCGATGAAAAAAGGAATTAACCCTTTATTATTCATGCGTGTATTTTCGTACTATAATAATACCGTATTTCTAATTAAAAGTCTATATGTATATGTTTATTTTGGCTTAAATAAAATGTATTATATTTAAACTTTTTATTTGCATATAGTTACATTACTTGTATAAAGCTAAGAAGAGATCTATATTTTTGTTCTCAGTTTAAAATCTGGTATTTATAACAGGTTATCATACTTTACACTGATCCATTCATCATATAGGTATTCCTAACACATTAGGGTCGGGGGGAAAGGGATTGTTAGTAATGGAGACTTAGAATCCCATTGCTAGCAATATACCTAACCAAGTCGACCTCCTCACGGTTCCCCCTGGAAACTATCATGATTAATTCCAGATGAATTCATCATGATGGGCTAACTGGCCTGTTTTCATCCTCATCGATCATGTTTCACTGGTGCCCCACCAGCGTATCCCGTTAGCGCAGGCGGGGTTACCATACCATTTTCACCCATCAAAAAAAAATAGTATACACAGGCGGGGCACCAGTGAGAGATGATAAGTGAGAATGAAAAAACAGATCATTTAGCCCATCGTAATGAATACACCTAGAAATCAGCACGATGGTTTCCTGGAGGGACCACGTGGAGGTCGACCTGATTCGATATATAGCTAGCAATTGGGCCTTATTCTCCATTACTAGCAATCACTCCCCTCCCCCTCAAATTACTATCCATCCACCATTTATTGATACTTAAGTCTTCTAAGATCCTTGAAATTCTAAATATTATACCACAATAACCCATCCATCGTATGTGCACCGGCATATAATGGGCCGCCCCTTCTTTTTCCGTAAGTATCGTTAGTGACGACTAAAGAAGGGCGAAAGATGGACAGCTAAGTACCTCTTAAAACATCTATAAAAGCCTAACCGCGGTTGCTAACCCGCTTGCCAAGCGTGGCAACTAATGGGGAAGACTTATGTTCAGCAGTGGACAATTAACGGCCGAAAAAAATCCATCCATACGCCTCATAAGAGCAAGACTCATAAAACTTTATATACTTTGAGGTCGATTCTAAAGCGCCCTTTGTCTAAAGTTATCTCTAGATATAAATTTAATTTAATATCACATAGCACCAATATGAACTAAGTTTGTAATAAATTTATAATAAATAACTGTTAAATTAATGTATTGGGTTAATATATTACATATAAGTTTAGAAAAACAGCGCCTCAGAATCGACCACACAATTAACTGGCGTCCGATCGGAACGGAAAAAAAATGGTGGAAACGGTGAACATTTAGTTTAAGTTAAGGAACTGTAGTTTGAGTATACATAAATATGTGATAGGACAATGTATGTTGTCAAAAATGGCGGTGTATTGGCATTTTTTTTATGGGTTATAATAGAATGGTAACCCTGCCTACGCTATCGGTATACCCTGGAGATGTACCAGTGAGGGATGATAGGTGACGATGAAAGCAGGTTAGTTAGCCCATCGTGACGAATTCTACTAGAATTAAGCACAATGGTTTCCAGGGGGAACCATGTGGAAGTCGACCTGATAAAGTGTATTGCTAGAAACGGGTCAGTTAGACTCCAATACTAACAATCCCTTCCCCCTCCGGCTGATTGCCACTAAGAAACAGAAGAAGAACTGGTGTCCATTCTAAAAGGTCGCCATAATTTATGTATACATACCGTTATTATTTTGTTTATTATTAGTTGAGTCAAAATTTTGAAATATTATATTTTTTCAAGGCCCAAGACGTTTAGTAAGTTTAATTCATCAAGGTCATAATTATTTAGAAGAGCATTCATGCTTGGTCTTCGAAGAGCATAATCCGGTTACGTCAGCTCGAAAGAGGAACTTCACATATCTGTACTACATATACTCCGGTGTGTTAGAAAGCTGTTGCCTGCAATTTTACACAAAGCCCGTGGGGAGACGAGTACGTAATTAATTTATTTACACACGTACAGCTTAACCTTTTCTCTTATCTATTTCTAAAAAGCTTTATGTTTCAATTAAATAAACAATAAACAAGATTCGATAATTTATTAAATATTTTTATTAATTTAATTACATTTATTCTGTTATATCGATTTTGTCCATACTCACGTACTGGCAGTGAAATTAGAAAAACTAAACAAAAAAGTAGTTGTATTAATGTGTGTGTAATAGACTCGTAAACGTGTGTACGTGACCGTTCTAATTACATTGTACCTACTAGTGTCCCGCCGCAGCTTCTCACGAGTGCAATATTTGTTTGTGTAACTTTTAAACTGTTCAACACATTTTAGTAAGGCTGGTATTTTGGGCATGTATAAAAGTACCGCAATAATATTCTCTAAGATTTTAAAATTAACAACCTATTTAGCTTGATTTGATTTGCACGCATTTTATTTTTACATTACCAATCTATATATTTCGTTATCAAAGTAAATATGCATATTATCATTGGCATACATATAATATGTAGCGTGGAGAAATATTCTACACTACATGCCAAATTTAAATATATTATGCCAAATTTCATGACAATTGGTTGAGCCGTTTAAGCGCCAAGGGGTAATAAATAAAGAAAGTTCACTTTTACAGTCATAGCATAATATATTTATAATATTTATTAAAAAATATACCAAAACGATGGCGGACGAGCCCCCAACTAGATGGAGTCACGATCTCAAGTGCATTGCAGGGAGTCAGTGAATGTAGTTGGCTCAGTACCGTTCCTTTTGGCAGTCTATGAGGGAGGCCTATGTTCAAGAGTGAACAGATAATGGCTGAGATGATGATGACATGATGACGTTAATTACCAAGGAATCAGCTGTATACAGAATATAATACCTTGCAATTACCTCTGTTCTACCCGTGTTTCTGCCGTGAAGCAGTTGTACTTACGTTACTATGTTTCAATTTTAAATATGAGATTATTATATCGACCGTTAACTATCCACTGCTGAACTTCCCCTTCCTGAAACCCTCCCCATAATTGGAATTTTGCCGTGGTTACCACATTTGACAAGACTTGGCAATCGACATTAGACGCTGTTAGAGTTTTAGTAGGGACTCTGCTGACCATTACTCAACGATTGAGTTCCCTTAGCTACCTCTATCACCCACGGGAAAGAAAGTGGCTCATTCTATACCGGGACCACAAGACAATATGGAATGTGGTAATGCAATTACATGGTAGAGACATAACACCATAGCCCTCGGAAATAACAACACGAAAGAAGTACCATAAGCATAAATTTACCAAAGTGTCGTTCATCTACAGATAATGGATACAGATAATACACTTTCTATCTAGTAGGACGTTAGCTTATTTGCCATTCTAAATGACATAAAAAAAAATACTAAATAACTAATATAAAAAATTCGCCGTGTAGGTTCCGGCATAGAATAGGCCACCCTTTCCTTTACCATGGGTGTCGTAAGAGGCGATTAAGAGAAGTCAATAGTAGAAAAATGGGCAGCAGCGTCTTTCTTAAAATATCACTAAAAATCTAACTGCGGCTGTCAACCCGCCTGCCAAGGGAGACAACTACTGATAAAACCCCTTCTGAGGAAGACTTATGTTCAGCAATGGTCAGTTAACGACTGATATGATCTTGATATTAATAAGAAAATAGCTTTTATTTCCGATTCAAGAAAATTATAATAAAAATAATAAATTATTATTTCACAGGTAATTTTAATAACTCCGCTATGTACACTGCCCTCCGATATAGCTCATGCTACTCTTCACGCTCTTGGATTGATGCATTGGAGAAAGGAACCCTTTTCTAAATATAAAGCAAAGGCGATCTTATTTCCATATGAATGTAAAGGTTATGATCAAAAGATAAAAGAATTCGAAGAGAAATTTTAATCAATAGATAAAGTGACCTGAATTGGATTTATATTTTATAATAGGTATCTTAGTAATAAACATTTTTATTTAATTAACACTAATCTACATTTATATAATAATTTGATCTGACTATCAATGCACAATTATGACTATGAGTTAAGTCTAGAAAACTAAAATTTGTAACATAGATGCATTTTATAATGTAAGCTAACAAACGTTAAAATTTTTTTAAAATTTTACCTTAAAGGTGAATACGACAACACGCGTGCAAAGCCGTAGGGAACATTTATATATGTATATTTGGCCAGATACAAAGGGAAAGCAGTTGAAAAAATTTTTAATATGGAATAATGTAAATACTAAGATGTAAATACTGTATGTAAATACTTTATTAATTTACATGTTCGTATAATGACAAAATAAGGAAACAACGTGTCATCACTCCGTTCATCCTCAGGTTGAAATTTTAAAGGGATATTGAGGTATCCCTTTACAACTTGGGGCAAAAATGACAAAAGAAAATACCTAAAACTACTAAACCCATAGGAGCGAGATAATGGCAAGTAAATGGATATCAGGTCCTTCTTCTATGGTTAAAGAGCCTTATCCAAAGTGATGTACCAATAAACTATACCAATAGTTATTAATAAAAATATGTGCTAGATAATTGAAAAGAAAATTTATAATGAATCTGATGTATGCAGTATTAAAGTCCATTCAACTAGGCCAGAACTATACTGGAAGTTTAATTAAAACAAAATTGAATGTTCACTTCCATTAGCCGTGGTTTCCTGTACACAATGGCACTTTTAATATTAACGACTTCTACTTCAGTTAAAAGCACAATTGTAATTTTAACGCGAGAAATATTGCGAACGATGTGAACAATAATTCCTGTCTCAGAACCCTCCCTTCCTATTCCGGAACAGGCATATAACAGTTACGGAAATTTATGATTATTTGATTTTACATTATAACAATATTTCGACGTAATCTCCTGTTAACTTTCGCTCAGAAGTTAACTTTTGATTTTGGAAATATGATTTTGTTCATTTTCAAAAAGTTTCATATTTTAAAATATATAATAATATTATAATCAGCTACATACTTGCAAATAATTCGTTCTAATTTACGAGGAGACTTCTTTGATAAAAATTATGAAACAATAAAATTATATATAATTTTTTATTTATTTTTTTAACAAAAAATTGTCAATTTTTTTATTGAAGTGTAATGCTTAATCTATTTATATCTTTATATTATACTTTACCTTTATATTATACAACAATAGAATAGAATAGAAATCTTTATTCAAATGGACTTGTTCAAATGATTTATTTATTTATTTATTTATTTATTTATTTACACTTTATTGCACCAAGTAAAAAGAGAAATAACAAATACAGTAAATATTAATGAGAAGTGATACAAAAGGCGGCCTTATCGCTAAGCAATCTCTTCCAGACAACCTTTGGGTAGAGGACATTGAGAAAAAGACAAAGAGTAGGTGGCGCACTATTATATAAATATTATCATATACAAACATATATAGATACATACATACATATATACACATACATATATAATATATACACAATTAAATATAAACATAACATACATACACATACATATATAATATATACACAATTAAATATATACATAACATACACATACTTAACAGCATACATACAACAGAAAAAAATGATGAAGGAAAACGAAGAGAGAACACAGGAAAATAGTACTAAAGTGAGAGGTAGTAAGATTTAACAGAGGTTTTGAAGCTAGTAAGAGTTTGAGCGCACCGAATAGAGGTAGGTAGTGAGTTCCATAGACGAACTGCCTGAACAGTAAAGGATCTAGAATAAAAGGAAGAAGAATGAGGGGGAAATTTAAGTCGGAGGTTATTGACACTGCGTAAAGTATGATCATTAGCCTCACTGAGAAACAAGAATCGGTCTTTTAGATAATCAGGAGCAGCAGGATTAAAAAGGATTGTGTAAAGAAGAGACAGGATATGCAGATTACGACGAAAACGGATAGAGAGCCACTTGAGTTGAGTACGAAATTGAGAAGTGTGATCATATTTGCGAAGACCAAATATGAAGCGGATACATAAATTTTGGAGACGCTCAAGCTTGTTTAATTGCTCTTCAAAATTGTCAATTTAAATGATCATTTAAATTGACAATTTTTTTGTAAATCTATTGCTATTTGTAAATCTATTATATATTATTTACTTTTGCATGGGTACCTACTGTGCACTATGTGTACTATAATTAGCATTAAATTTTATTAATATGTATTATTAAGCGTAAAATAAACAGGCAAACATGAGCAGACCATTCCTCACAAGCAGCGCCCGTTCACAAGTATAACGGACGAGCCAGTCATTATTGCGCTCAACCATATTATAGGGAACTCAACGACCCAGCCCGTCACAGCGTCACCAGTCAAGACCTTATAGTGAGCATGACTAGCTTCAAGTCACAAGTCAATGATTACAAATTACATCAATACACTACCTATCCTCATCATCATATCAGCTGTTTATTGTCCCATAAGAGGGGGTTTTGGTAGTTGTTGCCATGCCGGCAGACATTACCTATGTGATTATCAAAATACGTTAAAAGATTTGAATTGACGTCAGTAAGTTCATAATAAAAATATCAATTTTTATAGATATAATTAATTAATAAGACAATAATATCAATATCTCATCATAACACATCGGTTCTTTATTTTTAAGTCGGTATTAAATTTTGTGCGTAGCTCTGAAATCTTATACGTTTAAGTACATAATATCAAGATCTGTACCTGTGTCTACTGTAATCTAATTAGATGAAGTGGTATGTAATGAGATCTAATGTATTATGTCGCAGGCATGCGCAATGTTTCTTAATATAATTGAAGTTTGTTCCAATTTCGAACTTTTGATTCGGTTACGTAGAAACGTCTTCTCGTTTCTTATTGTTCCAAGAATGTTCTCAGTTCGTTCAATAAAATGGTATTAGTATTGTAAACTTTGTCTTATATTTCACAAAGATTTTGTTTATTAATAAAAGTAGAATATATGAGGTATCTAGGTCGTATAATATGAAATCGACTAAGAACATATTGCAGTGGAAATTTATTTGTAAATTACCTCATACCTGAAGGCGTTTTTCGATTCGTTGCACTCACTCTCTTACACAGACAAACACTCATTATTGTTATTATTATACAAAACATTGACATTAATCATCCTGTATCCTGTTAATAGATGTTTTAAACTATAAATAATATTAGATTTGTTAATTAATCATTTATCTATTTATATGACTCGGTTATAGTTCTTTTTTTTTTTCTATTATTGGATAATCTTATCTGTCTCTAAAGGAACACAACACTGACTTCTGAAACATAGGTTTTTTTTCCATCTCGAAAGTCAGAGCATTCACAATTTAATTCCTGTATATGTTATGTCAACAAAGATATATTATTATTATTAATCTATGGTTAAACTCTTAATGAAATTTCTGCATGAAGTATATTTCTGTTATTTGATACATCGACAATAATATTTTATTTTATATTTGTACTAGTTTTCAACCACAATTTCTATGACAACGTGGGATATATCAATTTGGTGGTTCAAATTGTGTTCCAAAATAAAACCGACTTCAATTGTGGCAAACCCAGTTATTTCGATTTAAAAACTCCTTACAGAACAGATTTTGATAAAATTTCTTTGGAACCAATCTATAAGTATGTATGTCCTTTACTATTGTAATCTTTTGGAACAAACAATAAAGAGTATCTATCTATCTATTCTTTTAGAAAAAAAAAGTATTTTCCAAATCGGTTTACAACTGATGAAGTTATAAGTTAACAAATCATAAAAAATACAACCGAACTGAGAGCCTTTTTTTTATACAACTTAGAATAGCAAACAAGCTGACGGCCCACCTGATGGAAAGTGGTAACCGTCACCTATAGACATGAGCAGTACCATGTACATAACAGAGTATACTGTTTCGCCCATGATACCCCCCATGCGTTGCCATTTCTGAGGAATCAGGTGTTATTCCTCTGTACCCTGTAAATTCACGCCATATCCCACCCTTCAAACCAAAACACAGCCGTGCAAACACAACTGCTTCATGGTAGAAACATGAATGGGAGAGAGGTACCTAAGCAAACGACTTTTGTACAAAGTCTCCCTCTGGTATACCAGCCTCCTACTTTTTGAATACGGTTGAAAGTAGCCCATATCCTTCTGCAAACCAAGTGCTATATATGTACGAAACTTAATTATTATTGTTTCGCGTTAAATGTACTAAGAGATAGGAATAAGCAAACTCATTTTCATATTTTTTTATACCACTGAAGTGGCAAACAAGCATACGGCCCATCTGATGTTAAGCGGTTACCGCAACCTATGAACGCCTGCAATACCAGAGGTATTACGCGCGCGTTGCCAACCCTGAAGAAATCTCTTTACCCCCCTTTTGAAGAACCCCATGCTGTAATCTCTTGGGAAAACCTCGGCAGGAAGCTCATTCCATAACCTGAGTGTTCGTGGAAGAAAACATCTCTGAAACCGTGTTGTACGTAGCGATTTACCATAGACCATTTTCATATTTATAGCACTGGTGAGGTTTTGTCCACTTTTCTTGAGAATATTTTCACAGAGATACTATAGATTTTAATGGCCTTTAGTTACAAATTGAAAATTTATTATAATTAAAAACTGATTTAATTGGCTATAAATATAAAATGGCTATCTGCAATGTACATGTACGTAATTACAACCTTAATAGGACTTCACGCTCAAAATTCATTATGCTTATCTTAATGTAATTTAAAATTGTAAAATTATTCTCTATTTAATAAATTGAGAATAAATCCATCTGGGATATCTTTAGTGAAATCATGAATTATGAATTATCTGTGTACCTATATATCTGTAAGTAATAACAATAATATATATTCACGATCTTTCTCTATATATATAATTATTATATTAAATATATATGTAATTTTAATTATGTATGTATATCAATAATTAGTAGTACCGCATTCGAGTAATGTGACACTTCCCTATGGTTGACTGGGAGAGAATGCTTTTAGCATTAAGTCCGCCATATACACATATTTGTACTAATGAATAAATAAATAAAAATTTACACTGGACTTTAAATTTTACTATTTACAATTTAGTGCTCTAGTTTTTGT